CAATAATGTACAGTATGTGGAAAATAATGTGTTTTTTGAACCTTAAACCGCATAAACACATTTCATTACACCGAATACACAAAATAATGTTCTTTTTAGCAACATCATATGACCCCTTTAAGATGAAATTAAAAAGCGAAATGAATGTTTTGGGACACTGAACTCAGCTGCAGTTTAAATGATGCAATTAAGCTCACTGGCAACATAAATATAATATTTTGATCATCTCCTTTTGAGTTAAGCAACACCTCTAAAAATGAAAATGTGCTGAAAGGTTTACTCACCCTCAAGCCATCCAAGATGTAGATGAGTTTGCCTCTGGTGAGCATTCCATCACTTGCTCACCAATGGATCCTTTGCAGTGAATGGGTGCCGTCAAAATGAGAGTCCAAACAGCTGAAAACATCACAATAATCCACATGACTCCAGTCCATCAACTAATATCATGCAAAGTGAAAAGCCGCCTGTTTGTAATAAATTGTTTGTGACTATTCCCTTAATACTGTGTTTTTTTTTTGTTTTTTTTAAAGAGCTGGAAATACAATTTTGGAAGAAAAAAATGTATACAGGGTTCCTACGCAGTTTGGAAAAGTGTGGGAAAAAGATAGCAGAGAAAGGAAAAATATTTGCATTTCCAGACTTTTGCCCCTATTTAGTTTTCTATAACAAAGAATTAAGAATTTAATAAAAATAAAAAAAAAATGTATCATACAAGAAGTGTGTTTTCATGGCAGCTGTTTAATGATTCTTTAGTGATTGTCAAACACGACTGTTTCATTATGCAAAAATGCAGGTTATAAGCGTTTTGGGTTTCTTCTCACAATATTCTTAGCACCGTATTACAGAGCCTCTAAAATGATCTTTGCAAAAATCAGCCCATTTCGCGGTGTGGTTTTTTGACAACCACAGAGTATACGATAAAGCAGACTTAAGACCTTGAAATGTGGCATACTGCCCTAAAGAAAGCCAACTTTTTATAGACCCTTGAACTTGGCAAATAGGACAATTTGTTGTGTGTTGGTGTGTTTATTGAAATTTATTTTTTAATGTTTATGTAATATTATTAGGGTTTTGTTTTTGAATCATCTTGATTTGCACTTACTAACAGAGAGCCAAAACAGGCTTATAGGTAGGGTGGTGTTGTGGTTTTAACATAGCTGTGAATTACACTACCAGTCAAATGTTTGGCCGCACCTACACATACCATTACTACTTTACACATTTGAGAATAATAGTAAGGTCCTTAAAACTACAAACACACATTTAATACAAACTTTGAATGTTTTTTTTTCAGTACCCAATTAAGTAAATTATAGTCAGGAATATATTTCAAGGGAATTAATCATTCTAAATTAAAAATAAATGCTTTATTTTATTTTCGTCCACAAGTGGGCGGAAGCGTCAGTGTGCGCAGGCGCTCAGAGGGGCGGGGCTTCGTAGAACCCGGAAGATCATAAAGTGTTCGAGTGTTACACATGGTTGGAGACTAAAACAATGAAGGCGATCGTTCAAAGAGTAACGAAGGCAAGCGTAACAGGTACGGCACAAAGCTCATAATTTCACAGTGAGTCAGCTGGACGCTCCTTGTAATGCTGTCGGTTAATTTATTGGCATGATACACTGCTGTCATGCGCACCCCATGCTTTAACACCTTCACATTACTGACTTATTAGCCACATTTGAAATGTGCGTTTTAAAATATACACATATGTTGAAGTGTATGCATCAGATCAAACTGTTGCGATCAGCACTAAGTATCCCTCACGCACTCTCTGAAACAGTTGGGGAGGAGCAGATCAGTTCCATAGGCAGAGGACTCTGCGTCTTACTTGGCATCTCAGTGGTGGACACGCAGAAGGATGTTGACTACATGTAAGTATTGATGTCTGGCCGAAAACGAGCTTTGGCAGTGAGTCCATATCTGATATAATAACATATATAAAAATAACAATTATTATTATAATGAATAAATTGCATTCATTACAATTTGTGAATGCAATTTATTCATTAGTATTTAAAATATTAATATTATAAAACCAGGGTCTATTTTTGGAGATCAGATACTTGATTCATAAAACCAGGGCTGTAGGATTGATCCTGAAAATGAGGTGCATATTTAGGCATGGATCTTAGAATAGTATTATCATGTGTGTGATCTTTCTGTTGAAGATGTTACACTGAAGCTTATTTCCTGAAATGGTTTCACAACTGATTTGACAGTTTTCGATTCTTTATTGTTGTTTATATAATTGACAACTGTGTTGCATTCTCAGCTGTCATCTATCTTCAGCAACGACTCTAAAATATATTGTTTCTGTGTCGTTGTGACTGGATATGACCATCACTTGAATGCACGGCCACAAATAGATGTAATTTGAAAGTGAAAGTTCAGAAGAGAGTGTAATTTGATGGGCATGTAAATTCAATTAAATTGACGAATAGAGAAAACATCATGTTGACTTGTGAAAAAGTACTTTGAAGGTCTGAATGAAAGTATTTGTGAGTATTTGTTTTTGAAAGAAGTCTCCTAATATACTCACCAAAGCTACAAACATTTCATGTGAACTGTTAATACAATTTAAAATGACGTTTTCTATTTTAATATATTTTGAAATGTAATTTATTCCTTTGACGCAAAACTGAGTTTTCAGAAGCCATTACTCCAGTCTTCAGTGTCACATGATCCTTCAGAAATCATTCTAATATGCTGATTAGAATTCATTATTTACACAAAAAGGACGAAAATGTATTTCCGTATTCGATGGAACGCGAAATGAGATGTTTTGAAGAATGTTCGTGCTGCTCTTTTCATTTTCATGCCGCTTACTGTGACCATATGAAATATTTTCTGTATGACGTTGTTTATCAGGGTACGTAAGATTCTTAACTTGCGTCTGTTTGAGGATGAGAGCGGCCGTGCCTGGAGCAGCAGCGTGATGGACAGAGAGCTGGAGGTGTTGTGTGTGAGTCAGTTCACTCTGCAGTGTATCCTCAAGGGAAATAAGCCTGATTTCCACTCTGCCATGCCGGCTGAACTGGCCCAGCCCTTCTACAACAACATGCTGGAGCAGCTGAGGGAAGCCTATAAACCAGAACTCATCAAAGGTGAGGTTAAACCAGCCAACTTTTGAAGGTTTCATTCATCTGATTAGGATCTGCTCATCGTTTAAGGTATTTGCTGAATTAAATGGATAGTTTATCCAAAAATAACATTTTTACTCGCTCGTTATTTACTCACTTATGTCGTTCCAAACTTTTTGAAGAATGTTTCCAGTGTTTTATGTTGGTTAGTGGTGAGTTTGTGACAAAATTTTCATTTTTGGCCGAACTATTAGTCCCTGATACATTAATCAAACGGTAGTTCAGAAATGTACAATTTTACTATGCAGTGAGAGAAGAATAGTAAGCTAGAATAGTGGTTCTCCAATTAAAACGTTTAATAAATAAATAACTTATTATATTTAAGAATTGTATTACTTGTATTAAAGGGGTCATATGATGCTGCTAAAAAGAACATTATTTTGTGTATTTGGTGTAATTAAATTTGAATATGTATCAGCCAACGTGTTATTAAGGGAAATAAATGGAATCATTTGCTTATTGAGTTGATTTTTTTTCTGTATGTATAAATAATGTTTAATATTAATGTTATATATAAGTGTCTTTTAATATAAAACACTAAATAAAGTATTCTACTTTAAATAGTTTTTTGACAATTTAGTTTAATAATTGAATACCTGATGACAGACAAAACAGAATCCCAGTAAAAGAGATTCATCTGAAAGGTGAATTTTTTACATGACTTATATACAGGCCTATGAAGATTTACACATTTACTTCTAATAAAATTACTAAACTAACATATAATGAAAAATATTTAAACTTAATTGAAATGCTAAAAACATTGATTTTTTTTTTCTTCACAAGGCTAGAGTGTTGGTTTTAATTCATACAGCTTGTATTGTGTTGTAGATGGGCAGTTTGGTGCAAAAATGCAGGTACTCATTCAAAATGATGGACCTGTGACCATTCATCTGGAGTCTCCTGCTGGCCCAACAGACCCTAAACTGGTATCCAGCTTTGATTTGCAATGAAATACATGCCTTAAAATTATCTTCTACAGAAACTGTAAATTCATTAGTTCTGATTACTGCATGAATTGTTTTGGGACTCTGTAAAGCCATTAATATGTTTGCCTCTCCTCTACTTCAGCTGTCTAAACAAGAGAAGCAACAGCAGCGGAAAGAAAAAACACGGTCAAAAGGCCCCTCCGAGTCCAGCAGAGAGAAGGCAGCGCTGCGCTCGAAAGCAGACCCCAGCGTTAGCAGTGGAGCAGAGGGAGATGTGTCCTCTGAACGGGAATCATAGAGTACTTCACGGTACACTTACAACCACAGTCATACCTCTAGTCTCTTATTTATCATAATTCAGTGATTGATACATTTATATATGCATTTTTTATTGTTATTGAATCAAGCTCCAGGGGTTATTCTTTGGAGATTGACACCAAATAGCACAGTCTGCTCATTGTATTTCTTTGGGGGTTTTTTTGGGTTTTTTTTAAAGGTTTTTGCAACTTGCAGATCAGTCCAGCTTCCAATGGAATGCTGCTGTCTTCAGGGATGTCTCTCAGTGCAGCTCATCCCGCTTATTACTGTCCCTATCAAATGTCCAATATACTGCCCAGTCTGATTTTCTTCTGAAACTTGGATTGTATGTAAACACAAGAACAAGCGACAGCTCCACAATTACCAGTAGAAATAACGACTCAGGCACATATCTGTGGTATTTTAGCACCACTTTAAACACAATGTCTGAATATTTACTATGCCATCTAATTTATTTAAATGTATACGTCTCTGTGATGTGTTTTAATAAAAACAGAAAAGAAAATGCTTGTAATTGTTACTTATTGCATAGCTGGAAAGTAGTATTGTTCTTTTTATATAATGCCATCATATTTAAAGATGTTGTTTGGATCTACAAATCTGAATCATTATTTGTATATATGTATATTTTCTATTACTAGAGAGCTAGTGCCAGTCATTAGGGACCTAATTTGGAATTTAAGTCACACTTGAGTTTATAATCTTATAATACAGTGTTAGTGACCAACTAACAAAAGGACAGAGGAGCTTTTGTGAGGTAACCTGCTTTATTGCATTGGACTGTAAGTAGAAAAAAAGCAGAGGATTATTCCTAAATGTGAAAAACAGATGTGTACCTGCCCAAATTAATGAAGGGGGAAAAAAAAAAGCATAATGATTAAATTACAGGATATTGTCCAGTATGAGAAGTTAGAGTTAACAGATAACTGATAAGGTGGGGGTGGTGTAAATTTTCATACATACTTTCGAGAAATTTTTTTTTTTTTTTTTTCCTTCATTAATGCTGCATAATAACAAAATATTTAAATATAAATTTAATGCATTTTATGTATTTTAATTTGGCAAAATTTAATGACATTCTTTATTATAATCATTTCTTGTGAGTTTCAGAACTCAAAACTTTCTCATCAGTCTAAAAACAGCTTATATTGAAGTCAATCTGCTAAAACGACAGGTTGTGGAATGTGCCACTTTGTGATGTAATGTGTGCCTAATCTCCGCCTCCGCAGAAGAAGATCAACGCCTGCTTCTACATCACTGCCTGTTTAGCCCCGCCCACCGATTCACGCATGTAGTCCACACGAACGCGGGTATTTTCAAAACCGCAGCTTTTTCTATGCGGTTTGGCCGTTCGTCCACATGCAAACGCAGCACCAGGTCACTGAAACCGAACATTTTTGAAAACTCCTGCCAGGGTGAAGATTTTCTAAAACTCAGGTTGCAGTGTTATTGTGTAGACAGCGAAACCGGAGATTTTGGCTTGTGACGTCGGAGCATGCGCTGTTATCTCCGCCTACTGGAAACTCTGTCAGGCTTCTGATTGGCCAACATGGCTTTACGGTTGAGGTTATATCGCCACCTGTTGGCTTGGCATGCTTTTGGCAGTGCTTCATAGCATGCTTTTGCGTTTTCATGTGGACGGACATTTTTTTTTAAACGGAAGAAGGAAAAACTCTGTTTATAAAAATACCCGTGTACGTGTGGACATGGCCTATAATAATAACGGTAGAGAGACAAACGCAGCTCTATGCAGAAACCAAATAATAAAGATGCTCCAAAAACAACAAGATGATGTACAGTGCCAAGTTGTGGAAAAACACCGGATGAACTTTATTTTTAAGACCACGTCAGTAAGAACTCGGTCCTTTGTTCACTTCATTTTACTGCGGATTTGTTTGCAAACAAAGCACAATTCGACACAGGATTTTCAGAAATATTGAAACTAAAAGACAATGCTGTGCCTATAGGACTATATTGGATGGATCCGACAGTAATGTCACACCACACAAGTGTGGGTAGCTGTTTTTATTATGTGGTCACTATTGCTTTGTCTGTTATTACAGGTCGTTTGATATGTACTGAGTATTTATGCGTTTTTAACCTAAATCACAGCAGCATCCATCTATGAAGGATGAAGGCGGTCAAACATACACAACTGTTAGCCAATCATAGCAGTGGGCGTTTACATCTGAGTCTACAGTCTGCCAAGCCTATTCAAACAGGAGCGTTCTGATGAGGGGGTCAAAACAGAACAGAAAATAGCCTATTCTAAATTATGTGAAGATGTAAAAATCTTGATAACATTATAAGTGGACCTCAGAGAACAATACAAAATAATAATTAAAAAAAAAAAAAAAACTTCATGACCCCTTTAAGAAAAGGGCTATTTCATCATCATAACAAGTCAGTGTTAGCATATTAAGCAACCAAGGAAGCTGCATGAAGTTTAGCCTCTTTAATTATTCTTTTCAACTTATCCCCCCAATTTATTTACCATATTTAGTAATTATTCTATCAAATTATTTGCATGCCTTTACCACCAGTGACGTGCGGCGTCGGTCATGTGATCATGTGACCGCAGCTTCTTGGTGTTAAACTGTTAGATAGTAGCAGAATCACTGACTGTCATTACTGTACACACATGTGCTGGCAGGACTCGCTTTAAATACAGCCGATTTCGTCTGCTGGAGAGGAGCACTCATAGGTAGGCCTATGTAATATCAATTTTCTTTTATAATAGTATTGCATAATTAGTTGTTAAGAGTGACATTTTTTTTCAGTTCGCATTGGGCTTGTTTGTTCTATTTAAACGCTATTCTGTGTCTCTGTTATTTTATAGACGCATTAATCCTCTTTTTCAACACTGTAATTTATTTCTTCTTAAACTAGTGTTTAGACCTTCAAGCTGCAACTTATTCATATTCGTCATATTTACTTATAGTTTACATGCATAACACGATATACAATCAAACTTTACGGAAAGTTGGAGGAAGATGTGTTCGGCATGTGCCGGATGATAATTGTGTTATAATTATAATAGAAATAAATATAAATTTTTGCTGATTACTTGTCAGCAACTGTAAAATAAATTCCTCTCTAGGCAAGTAAATGCACACACACACACACACACACACACACACACAAATACAGGTGCATCTCAATAAATTAGAATGTCGAGGAAAAGTTCATTTATTTCAGTAATTCAACTCAAATTGTGAAACTCGTGTATTAAATAAATTCAATGCACACAGACTGAAGTAGTTTAAGTCTTTGGTTCTTTTAAATGTGATAATTTTGGCTCACATTTAACAAAAACCCACCAATTCACTATCTCAACAAATTAGAATACTTCATAAGACCAATAAAAAAAAACATTTTTAGTGAATTGTTGGCCTTCTGGAAAGTATGTTCATTTACTGTACATGTACTCAATACTTGGTAGGGGCTCCTTTTGCTTTAATTACTGCCTCAATTCGGCGTGGCATGGAGGTGATCAGTTTGTGGCACTGCTGAGGTGGTATGGAAGCCCAGGTTTCTTTGACAGTGGCCTTCAGCTCATCTGCATTTTTTGGTCTCTTGTTTCTCATTTTCCTCTTGACAACCCCATAGACGGGGTTCAGGTCTGGTGAGTTTGCTGGCCAGTCAAGCACACCAACACCATGATCATTTAACCAACTTTTGGTGCTTTTAGCAGTGTGGGCAGGTGCCAAATCCTGCTAGAAAATGAAATCAGCAT